CTCATCACCAAGAGAAGATGACTGAGGGTAACTGGTCAGGAATTTCTGCACTCAGAGAGGTCTTTGCTGTGGAGGTGAATGAGGGAGGTGGTGGTGCCTGGGGGCTCCAGGGCAGGGGACACTAGGTGGAGTGCTGGGCTGGGATCCTGTGCCATATCCATCCCCACACAACCCTCTGCCTCGTGAATTGCTTCACTTCAGCTCTGGCAAATGGATTGTCAAAGATGTGGCAAACCAAAAGTGCTTAGAAGGAGAGGAGAGGAGAGGACAGGCACATCCCTGCTGTGTGTGATGCTGATATCTGTGCTGGGGGTGCAGGGGAGTGAATTCCTCACCGGTCAAAAGCACAGAGTGAGCTCTGCCTGTTTGCATTTGTGTGTGTTTTTTGTTCCTTGAATGTGGATCTCTGCTTGCTGCTGCTCTTAGAGCCAAGTGGGGCAACTGCTGCAGAGGTTTGTGCTGGTGGCCGAGCCGTGGGCGAGCACAAACAGGAAACCAGAGGTACAATGGGGAGGGTTTGTGTGCCGAGGTCACACACTAGCTCTGAGCTTTCCAGCTCTGCCTGTTTGCATTTGTGTGTGTTTTTTGTTCCTTGAATGTGGATCTCTGCTTGCTGCTGCTCTTAGAGCCAAGTGGGGCAACTGCTGCAGAGGTTTGTGCTGGTGGCCGAGCCGTGGGCGAGCACAAACAGGAAACCAGAGGTACAATGGGGAGGGTTTGTGTGCCGAGGTCACACACTAGCTCTGAGCTTTCCAGAGCTGGGAGGGCTTGTCATTTTCCTGCTGGGGTGTTCTGTAGCAGAGTGGAAGAGAGCACAGCAAGAATTTCAGGCCATGAAAAAGAGCAGAAACCTGCCTTTAAAGAGCAGTGAGTCAATGTCCTGACTGCCAGTCTGACCTTAGAGGGATGGGTTGAGCTGATCTGGCCTTGAGGGTTCAGTGTCTCACTTTCATTCTGAGTTGTTTCCAGGGTTTGGCTTTGGTGAGGGGTCACATTCTGGCCTCCCAAAAAACTGGTACTTTGCAGCTGAAATGAGTCAGGTTTTGGCCCTACCCAAACTGGTTTAGGTTAGAATTTTAAGATTTAAAATCCAGACACTTGTGCAATGAGTTCATTATCTTGGGGGAAAAAAGAAATGTTGTTGGTGAAAATAATTTAAAAAGCCCAAACCCACACAAATAAACTGTTTCCTGCCAGGACTACTGAAAACTTTGTCAAATCAAACTTAATTCCTTTTAGTTTTCTGGTTCCAGGAGCTGAGTTTGTAAGGAACTAAAATTACTGAAGTCCATCTGAAAAGAAAAGCTCACAAAATAGGGTTTGCTCCACTTTATTCTCATTTTTTCCTTCTATTTGTTTACTTGTGACTTTAATACATGAGTATTTGCACCGTGATTGTCACCTTCAGCAGAGGTTTTGCTCCTTCCATGTGGATCACTGGTGTGAGTAACCCAGAAAGCAATGAGTTCTGTGTGGAAGGGAAAAAGCAAGAGACAAAAGCTGAGCTGCCTCAGGCAGGTGGGAGGGAGCAGCAGTGCTCCCCTTCCCAGAGCTGAATTCTTTCTGTGAAC